AAATTACTATTTTAACCCCCGGTTAACTTAAGGGGAGTTCAATATATAGGAACAATTGTATGTTATGTGTTATATGTGCTATGTGCTTCTCAGTGTTATTATTCTGAGTTATTCTCTCGTGTTATTTTATTCGCTATGTTTATAGCAATTATAATACCTTTGACCATGTGATCAGTGAAAGGACTTAGATTCACATTGGTACTGGTACGTAGCCTCTGGCCATGTAGAGCATGTCTCCGTAAGAGAATAACTTCTATTCTATGGCATTTGCAGAAGGTTACATAAGAATGGTATGTAACATCTGACCATGTAGAGCATGACTCCGTAAGAGAATGAACTCTATTCTATGGTATTGGCAAATGGTTAGACAGGGCTATAAGCCTGAAATCTACCCAAATGTTAATCAGAAATTATATGTCTTCTGTGCCAATTGGGCTAAAGCTTTATTGATGCATATCAAGTATTGAAATCGTTATGTCTCATTGAAAAGTATATCTTTGAATAAAGTGTTTGATTGATATGAACGCTTGTCACATGATTTCACATATGTATTCTTGTTCCCTTCTGCTTCTGTCATATTGGTATATGTAAGGCATAAGATTATATTGTATCTATTTATTGAATTCACTAAGCGTTATCGCTTATTCCTCTCAATATTTAACAATTGCAGGTGATGAGTATTCCAATATAGCTTTATATTGCTGAAAGATTTAGAATAGTTAATAGTATCTGTATTTTTAATGTTCATGTATGTATATGAATAGTAGATTCCTGGGTAGACATGAAATGTAATAAAACTTAGTCGGTTTGTATCCAATCCTTTGTAATCACTTTATCAATATAAAATATTTTATAAATATGCATGTAGCATGTTTTGATGAAGTAACTTAAGAAATCTTTTGAAATAGTATGAAAGTTTGGGTCTTTCATAAATACGAAAGTTGGGGTCTTTCACATACACACTATTTTACTCTGTTGGGGGCATAGAAAATAATTATTTATAAGAATAATTATTTTTCATACTATATAAACACTATGAAAAGGTAATACATACAAACATTACAAGAAAAAGGGATTTCACTACACTATACATAAACCGTTGATTTAGCTTTGTGAGACATTATCTATAACACTCTAAATTTTCAAACATTTTTTTTCATTTTTAAAATCTCATAAAATCGGTATCATATTTTCTCAAAATCACAATGTATCAAATGTCAAAAACTCGATTTGACAAAACAATTGATAATATCCCAAAATCCTCGTCATGGTCTCAAACATATGTGTACAATCAAGCTGGCGCCTTCCCGCAATACTAAGAAGTACCTGAAAAACATAACACACAACACGGTAAGCATGAAGCATAACGAGTTCCCCAAAATACCACATACACAAATAATAATCCTCTCATGGGTATAACTCGGCATGGACCCTCCGGTCTCATGCGTCTTAGTGAGGACCCTCCGGTCTCATGGCTCGGTGTGGACCCTCCGGTCATGTGTCTCAGTGCGGACCCTCCAGTCTCACAGCTCAGATTGTACCCTCCAGTCCTATATCTCAATGAAGACCCTCCGGTCTCACAACTCGGTTTGGACCCTCCGGTCCTATCTCAGCAAAATACATAATAATATAACACATATCACAAAGACAAAATACATAATATCACATAACTCAGTATAAGCACATGAGCCTCCTGTCGATAACTCAATAAGACCCTCCGGTCACATAGTATTACCGCTCAGGTAAGTATAGTGAGAAGACTCACCTCGGAAATAAGCAAGTAGATCTAGCACCCCCATGAACAGTCTAGACTCCGCCTACATAATATAATTATCTCTAATAAGCAAATTGTAATAACCACTTGAGATACTAAGCTAACTCCTCTACTAAATCTCAAAAAGGGTGAAAAGACCATTTTACCCCTCCATCGTCTCAAAAGTCCACAGTTGACCAAACCCTAAAAGTCAACGAAAGTTAATGATCAAGTCAACAGTCCATGTTGACTAAACTCGTCGAGTGCATGTACGCGACTCGTTGAGTTCCCTCGTTTTTCTCAGAAGTATCGGGAAAATCCAACTCAACTCGTCGAGTTGTCTCATCAACTAGCCGAGTTGTAGCGCGTTCAAGCTATCAGGAAAAACCCTAGCTGACTCGTCGAGTTGGCTCATGCACTCGCTGAGTCCCTCTAGACCATTTCACATTCAGACGATTCTAAGCAAAAGTAAGGTTCCAAAATCTAGATCTATCCTCCCAAGGTTGAAATACCATGTGAAGCTGCAAGCTTTACGTCCATGCATGGCATCTAGGGCACGAAATGCCAACACAAGCTCTATTTAGGGTTTAATGCATAGAAACTTGTCAACAACTTGATAAAGCTTGGATCTTTGGGCTCAAAGGACTACATATGGTCCGGATCTAGAGTCTCAACTCCATGGCAAGCTCCAAACACTCTAGAACTCAAGAAAGGATGGAAAAAGGCCCTAAACTTCTTAGAACGAGATCTAACCAAAACAATGATCAAGGTTGAAGCTTTTTACCTCCAAACTAAAGCTTGCACTGAAAAACACTTGATCCAAAAGCCTCTTCTCATTCCAAGCCTTGATGCTCTTCACTCCTCTTCCAAATGTGCACTAGAACACCTAAAGTTAGCTTCTCTCTTTCTCACAAACGAGAAGGGAGACGAAAATGAAGGCTGTAGGTCCTTTAAATAGGACACAAACCCTAAAAATTAGGGTTTTCTCACTCACCACCTACTCATCAAGTTGGGGTCCTCCAACTCGTCGAGTAGATTCTAAAAATCATGCGGCCAATTAACTCCTCTACTCGGCGAGTTGGGGCATCCAACTCGACGAGTTTCTATGAAATTATAAAGGTAAATTAATTAAATATTATACTTGGGAGTCGGGATGTTACATTATCTTCAAGTACTTACCTAAGTACCAACAAAAGTCTTGTATTATAAACAGAGTCTCCTAGAGGGAGAACGTGACACTTGTGTATAGATTTATACAGGACTGACAATCTCGCACCTAAACTGTTAGCTACAGTTAGACCGATAGGTTTGGGGTGACAAATGTCGTACCATTCCGACACCTGAAGACCATCGTAACAGGTCGTCAGCCATCAAGTATGGTTATAATAACTCACAATTGGGTATTAACAATACGTTTGGTTTACAGATACGAACATATCTTCAACTGTTTTTATTTAACGATAAAACTACATTACACGACTTTCAAGTACAATACCATTTACATTCTGGAAACATATATTTACAAGATTTTATACAGATACAACTACAGAACATTATTTTCAGTACAATATAGTTTACTTTTTTGGAAACATGCATTTAAATGGTTTTATATAAGGATAAAACTACATATTTTTATTTTAAGTATGGAGAATACTTGTGCACTCGGCTTTGGAATATTTAAGACTACATTACAGATAAAAGAAAATATTGGATTTTCTGAAGAGAACACTACCATTTTCAAGGAAGAAAGATACATATTTCTCATACAAAATGCTTATGAACTCATCAACTTTAATGTTGACACTTTTTCAGAACCAATTGTATTCTTAGTGAATCACTAACACAGGTAACATCAAACTTTTTGAAGACGAGATGCTAAGATGCTAGTCAAGTCTTATATCATCATATTGTAATTGATTTTTGAAACATCTAACACTTGCAAACCATGTAACTTTATCAATTATATTTATGACGGTTGTGTTTGCTTTGATCTCTATTATTTAATTGCTATGATATTGTACTATGATGTCATCCGCCCCCGGATGTTTCCGCCGTTCTGGTTTGGGGGTGTGATAGATTGGTATCATACCATTGTTTATAGTGAACTAAGTATATCAAACCACATAAAATATACAACTATAGACACAATAGGACTAAAACACTCTGACCAAGAAGTATACCTTTTAAATATAGTAATATTTTTTATAAAAGTATACATACCAGAAACGGTATCATGGTAAGAACCATATAAAAGTATTTAGATAATTTGGACGTTGCGGTTAAGCCTGAATAATTATGTAATCATATATGGGATAAATATAGTCTGATCGACCGACATGTATTTAGGAATGGTCGTAGTGAACAACAAGTTTAAAACTTACCAACACTTCATACAAGGAAACTCTATAACCAAACATAAAAGTTAAAATACTAAAGGAGTGTTTTTATAATACTATGCAATTACAATTAGGCTCTTTTGTATGTCTTTCATACTGTTATTCTTGTACAGTTGACATAAACAGGCATGTAATTAAGATGTTCTAATTCAATAACATCTTTAAACCTTATGGTAGAAAAATGTCACCAAAGAAGTCAAATAGGAACAAAAACAACACCCCAAGAACTCCACCACCGCTACAGATGGACACTGCTATCTTCCAAGCTGTGGTGACAGTCGTTGTGGCAGTCGCCATGGTGCAAATCAGCTCGAACAGCGCTAGTGGGATGGGAGGTGGTACAAGTAATCCTAACCAAATAAATAATCACTGGCACCCAAGGGAATGCTCCTACAAAGACTTCACAAACATATAATGAAAGTCTAACCATTGGATCAATAAAAAAATACAATCATTCTTGAAATAATAGTATTATATTTAACATTTATTTTTTTAAGAATTCAAAATTCAAAAACCTCTTAGGATAATATAGAGTTATGGACATTTTGTGTATCCTTATTTTAGGTAACAAAATAATAAAATTTAGATCTTTTTAAATTTATTATTGTTATTATTATTATTATTATTATTATTATTATTATTTTGCAATAAACACTCTTTTTAGGAGAAATGCTTTTGAGATATAATCGAATATGTTTTCATTTTTTATAGAATAAGTTTTTATTATAAAAAATGTATGTTCTTGTTCTAAAAATTAGGTTTTCCGATTTTTAGCACTAAGCATCAAATTAAATTAAAACCCCAACAATCAAGAATTAAACATTCAAAAATCAAGAATTAAATATTAAAACCCAAGAATCAAGAATCCCAAATCGATTACAAAACACAGTTCTCGTAGCATTTACATCAAAAATAATAAAAAAAAAAAAGCGAATGAATACTTGAAAAGGATACACTACAAGCACAATTATGAAAAATCGATCGTTACTCTTTAAAAATTATATTCCTTCTCGCTAGAATGAAAAGAATGTATGTCAAAGGACGAACTAAAGGAGCATTCTTTTTTTTTTTAAAAGTCCTAAATATGTTTTCTCCTTCCTTCACTCTTCTCCACAATCATACCAACAATCCTGTTCTTAAGGCACTGCAAAAATTCATAAACAATTGTAAGATATAAAATAATAACATCAACAATCATTAGCTATTTACATATAAACATAAAAGAATAAAAAATACTAATAATAAAAGAAAACATGAGACACAAATTGTTGAAACGTACATGTGAATGCTTCTTTATGTTGACATTGTCATAATGAAAATCCACCGGAACCAAATAGTAGCCCACCAATGGAGTCTGTTATGCCATTCGAAAAAGAGATGTGAAGAATGCATCCTCCTTTCACTCTCTCATGCTACATGTGATGTACATGTATAATCTCAAGAATATGGTCTAAAATGGAAGCCCTCCAAATGAATCTAAAGAATATGTCATGAAACTATAATGATTCTATAAATTTTAAGTTTTTAGGATGGGTACAACTTGGAATCAGACGTAAAATGGTAATTTGCATCAACACGAACAACCAAAGCCATCATCTGTTAAAATTCGTACCACATAATCAAGCAATACTGAAATCGATAACAAAAGGCATGGTAATACTTAAGATCAAGAAAAGGAGCAAATTTATAGAACGCAAAGTACATGACAACAACATTGGTCAATATACATATATTCACTTTGAAAAAGAGGCATGTATAACATCTAAACAAGGTTAATTCAATTAGATAAATGGGAAAACAAAATAACAACAGGCAGCACTACGTACATGTATGAGAATCTGCATCAGATTTTATTCATCAATACCCTAAAATTAACAAGTAAAAAAAGAAGAAACTTACTTCGGTAAGTATAGTATACATCGCCTAACGTGTGCTTGATTGACGTTTGAGATTTCCAAGTTTTGAATGTTATTACGTTCCAAACAACTTCAAAAAGATCCAGAAATCGGGGAAAAACTCATCGATTGTGATTGAAGCGGATAACATATAGGTTTCAATTCGGAGTTAATTGAAATTCATGTACTTAACGATATATAATTAATAATAAAAATATTCTATTTTACTCAATTGGAAATCTCTAAAGAGAAACATAAACAGATATCAAATTTAGAATTACGTTGATATCATGAATATTATTAGTACTAACTTAATTTATTTTAACCATCTCATTGTTAAGCGCATGGGCCCTAACCAGACTCCCAATCGTGTTCACGGCGAGCTTCAAGTCCTCCAATGGATTCCCCGGCGCCACCTTCTTGTACAAATAACTGTCGAAAGTCATCTTTTGAACATACTCATTGCTACACATCTCCACAAACGCCTCCTTCGCCGGATTTGACCTGTAAAACACCTTCTGCAACACATCCAGCACCTTATACGTCGACCAATATGTTTTGTCCCATTTCTTCAGATAACTCCTCAGATCACCCTCATCCACCATCCTCCTACCGTTCTCCGATCCCTCCACTATCGCCTCCGCACACATCCGCCCACTCTTCGCCGCAAAATATATCCCCTTCACCGGAGCATTTCGTCACATACCCCGCCGCATCTCCTACCAGGGCTACCCTCTCCACCACTCTCCTTGGACGGGGGGTGTTCCGGGATGGGGTGAGCTTCCACCCGTATGATCTTTCCGCCAAGAATCTTGTCATGCGTACGGAGGCGCGTGGCAAGCTGGAACTTTTTGATGTCGGGTTTGTGTGTGACTGTTCCTGTTCCAACAGCCACGTGGTCGCATTTTGGAAACACCCATCCATAGAAGTCCGGTGATACGTCGTTTCCGACGTACAACTCAGCAACGTTCTCGTAGTACTGCATTTTGTCGTCTGGGATCTTGACACGTTCTTGGAAAGCTATTCCATACTCGTAATCTCCGGCTTCAATGGATTTTGCGACACGGGAGTTTGCTCCGTCGGCGCCGATTATGGCGTCGACTTCGATACTCATCCTTTCTCCGGTGGATCCGGTTTTTCCGTTATAGGCGTTGTAATGGAGGACGTAAGGTGCGTTTTTCTCTTGGGGTTTGTCCATTTTTACGAAAAGTCCGTTGATGATGGTGGCGCCGGAGGTAGCAGCTCGGTCACGTAAGTAGGCATCGAGGACTTCCCGGCGGACCATGCCGATATACTCATGGGGTTTGAGTGTTTGACCGATGTCGACGGCAATGTTTGACGGGGAGATCATCTTCATCTTGGTAACACGGCGGTCAATGATATCCAACGGCAACTCAAATTCTCCGACCATGCAAAGTGGAATGGCGCCACCACAGGGCTTGGCATTGTCCAGTTTGCGCTCGATCAAGAACGTCTCTATTCCGCCTTTGGCTAGTGTTTCGGCAGCTGCTCCACCGGCAGGACCACCGCCAACGACTGCGACTCGAAGGTTTCGTCCAGTGATTTTTGGGCTGGTTTTGGCGGCGACGACATTGAGACGGCGGTAGTGAGCTTGGCTTGGTGCAATGCATTTAGGTAGAGTGGTGAGTGAGTGATGGTGGTGTTTTTCCGGCGAAGATTTGCGGAGGCCGACGAAAGAGATGAATGCAAAAGAAGCCATTTTGATTTGTGGGAGATGGAGTACTTGGCTAGTTTGACTGGTTTGTGTCAAAGATATGATGGACATGTGTGGTTAATAACTGTAGGATAATAAGGGAGTCCAACTACCTTTGTACTAACAAATTTATTGAAATAATAACATCCCATGTTCATTATTATGTATTTGCCTTTTTAACTAAAATTTATTATCCTTCTATTGTATGGTTACGTTAATGAGAAACTTTCCACACGATATTTGTAGAAGTAAAAGGGTAAGGTACGGACTACGGATGATCTAAAATTTCTTATAACATACAATATAATAACATATATGATATTTTTCATATATGCAATGCAATTAGCAATATAAGTTTATGAGGACGTAAGCACAAAAACATAAGAATTTTACACTGAAACATATATAAAGACAAAAACATAAGAATTTTACTCTGAAAGACGGTGAGGACTTGAATTGAAAAACCACAAAAATCATGGTACAAATTCATGTCAAACCAGTGGCGGAGTCAGACTCAAAGCAAAGGGGTATCTTAATTTTTTTTTTCCGGGTATCACCGCAACGGCTGAGCATGGGGCGGGTCGGATCAGTTTTGACCTAAAATCAAACCCAAATCTGATAGCGACGGTTTTGAATCTTTTAAAACCAAACAAAACTCAAACCCATCAATTTGATGTTATGGTTTTCAGTTTGTACATGAGTTTCCTCGTTTGGTTTTGGTATTAAACTCAAACCTTAATAGAATCGTTAGCTAACTTTAAGTTTTGTTATATAAACATAAAGTTTAAGTATTTTTTGATACTTGAATCAATGTGGGACTCAAAGTTGATATAAAATGAATCATGATGATAAGATTTTATAATAGATGAAAACAACTGAGTTTACATGTGTTTTGCGATGTGGAATAGAATAGCTTAGAAATTAAAAGAGAATAGAATAGCTGGAAAAATAAAAGAAATATAAACAAAGGATTTGTAGGGAACAAGAATTGATCTTAAAACCTTTGTTTCAATAACCCAACACCTTACCCAATAGACTAGCTATATGTTTGTGTTTATAAGTGAAAAGATGCATATATATACACTAAAAAAACGAAAATTTTCTAAAAAAATTACATTACCGAAATTTTTTTGAGGGGTATCCCGGGATACCCCTTGGATCCGCCTATGTGTCAAACAAAATGATAAAAACATAATACATAAGAATAAGTAAGATTTTTTTTTTTTTTTAAATTGACGAACGGAAGTTTAAATTACAAACATATTATATGTGATTCGATTCATACATATGAAACGTACATAAAAATAAGCACAAAAAAAATTACATTGAAAAGTAACAAACTCGAATTTATACCAACAGGTACATAAAAAAACAATTTTTTCTTTTTTTAAATCAATGAACAAAAGTTATAAATTTACACCAAAATGTTGGTCATCTCTAACTATATACCAATTCATATGAAAGTTTAGAAAATCGAAAAGGTAGTCACTGTAAAAAAATCAAATTGCATATATTAAGGGGGATAAAAACAAGGGAATATGATTTATTAAGGTAATTAACTTTTCGGTATGTTCACATAGGTCTGTCAAATCGGGCCGCCGTGTCGTGTTTTTGTCTGACACGACACGATACGACAATATTTTTTGTAACACAAACACGACACGACACGATGTCGTGTTTTTTTTCACTAACACGAAAACGAACCAATTAAAAAACGACAATACGACACGACACGACAAAGATAATATTACATAACTGTTATTTTATTTAATTCATATTTAATCATATATAACACGATAAAAACGACAAACACGAAAAACACGACAAACAAATGCTGAATCGTGTCAATTTCGTGTGGATTTGTAAACACGAACACGATACGACACGGCATCGTGTTTTTTATACTTGACACGAACACGACACGAAAACGAATTTGAATTTTGATTTCGTCCCAATTTCGTTTCGTATCGTGTATTTTTGTCGTGCCGTGTCATAAATTGACACCCCTATGTTCACATATGGGTAACTTTTTTTTTTGTACATATCTAGGTAACAAACTTATTGGAAATGTTCACATATGACCATTATGACCTGCTATAGCAGGTTAAATCCTATATGTGAACGTTTTCAACAAGTTCGTTACCTAGATGTGTACAAAAAATAGTTATCCAAATATGAACAAAACGAAAATTTTCTAAAAAAATTACATTACCGAAATTTTTTTGAGGGGTATCCCGGGATACCCCTTGGATCCGCCTATGTGTCAAACAAAATGATAAAAACATAATACATAAGAATAAGTAAGATTTTTTTTTTTTTTTAAATTGACGAACGGAAGTTTAAATTACAAACATATTATATGTGATTCGATTCATACATATGAAACGTACATAAAAATAAGCACAAAAAAAATTACATCGAAAAGTAAACAAACTCGAATTTATACCAACAGGTACATAAAAAAACAATTTTTTCTTTTTTTAAATCAATGAACAAAAGTTATAAATTTACACCAAAATGTTGGTCATCTCTAACTATATACCGATTCATATGAAAGTTTAGAAAATCGAAAAGGTAGTCACTGTAAAAAAATCAAATTGCATATATTAAGGGGGATAAAAACAAGGGAATATGATTTATTAAGGTAATTAACTTTTCGGTATGTTCACATAGGTCTGTCAAATCGGGCCGCTGTGTCGTGTTTTTGTCTGACACGACACGATACGACAATATTTTTTGTAACACAAACACGACACGACACGATGTCGTGTTTTTTTTCACTAACACGAAAACGAACCAATTAAAAAACGACAATACGACACGACACGACAAAGATAATATTACATAACTGTTATTTTATTTAATTCATATTTAATCATATATAACACGATAAAAACGACAAACACGAAAAACACGACAAACAAATGCTGAATCGTGTCAATTTCGTGTGGATTTGTAAACACGAACACGATACGACACGGCATCGTGTTTTTTATACTTGACACGAACACGACACGAAAACGAATTCGAATTTTGATTTCGTTCCAATTTCGTTTCGTATCGTGTATTTTTGTCGTGCCGTGTCATAAATTGACACCCCTATGTTCACATATGGGTAACTTTTTTTTTTGTACATATCTAGGTAACAAACTTATTGGAAATGTTCACATATGACCATTAAGACCTGCTATAGCAGGTTAAATCCTATATGTGAACGTTTTCAACAAGTTCGTTATCTAGATGTGTACAAAAAAATAGTTATCCAAATATGAACAAAACGAAAAGTAAAAATTAAATTACATGAATGGTCCCTGTGGTTTGGGGGAATTTGTGTTTTTGATCGTTAATTTTTTTTTTTTTTTAACTTAGATGTCCCCTACTGCTTATTCTTGTTTTGCGGTTTGTCCATTCTTACTTAAAAAATACTATTGTGCCTTATTAATTTATTTTTTAATTAATTTTCTTATTTATGTATTTATTTTTTTACATATTTAAAAAAATTAATAGACCACACATATTTGTATCTCCTCATATGAGCGTTACTGTTTATTTTTTATTAATTTTTTTTTTAACTCGGATGATCCATACTGTTTTTTTGTTACGTGTTTGGTCTCTGTCTTACCTAAAAATAATATTTTTCTCTTATTAATTTTTTAGTTAATTTTTTTATTTATGTATTTATTTTTTATAAAAAAATTAATATACCCCACATATATGTATCTCCTTACCATAAACCTGAAACCACATTTGAGAAATTTAATTTGGATCTTACCAGTCACTATCTCATCTCTCATCTTCCCATCTTCTATTTCTTTTCCATCTTTAGTAACATCGACGTCTTCATCATCCTTCTTTTTTTGGTACTTCAACTCTGGTGAACCAACACTATAACCTACTGTCACTTCATCTTTAGTAGGTTGTGGTGTTGATTCGACGGAGTTGAAGGACCGAAAAAAGAAGTGATGATGAAGACGTCGATATCATTAAAGATGAAAAATAAATAGAAGTTGAGAATGATGAAAGATTGGATGGTGACGAGATACAGATATGTGGAGTCTACTAATTTTTCTTAAATATATAAAGCATAAGTACATAAACAAAAAAATTAATTAAAAAAAAGTAATAAATGCATAATAATCTTTTTAGGTAAGACAGAGACCAAGTTAATAACAAAATTAAACAGTAGGGACCATCCAGGTTAAAAAATTAAATTAATTAAAAACTAAATAGTAGGGATCATCCGAGGAGATACAAATATATGTGGTCTATTAATTTTTTTAAATATGTAAAAAATAAAAACATAAATAAGAAAATTAGTTAAAAAAAATAAATTAATAAGGGCACAATAATCTTTTTAGGTAAGATAGTGACCAAACGCGCAACAAACATAAACAATAGGGACCATCCAAGTTAAAAAAATAAGTTAGGAACCAAAAACACAAATTCCCCCAAACCATAGGGACCATTCATGTAATTTAATTTTTACTTTTCGTTTTGTTCATATTTAGGTAACTATTTTATTTTTACAAATCTTGGTAACGAAGTTGTTGAAAGCTTTCACATCTAGGATTTAACCTGCTATAGCAGGTCATAATGGTCATATGTGAACACTTTGAACAAGTTTGTTACATATATGTGTATAAAAAAGATAGTTACCCAGATGTAAACATACTGACAAGTTAATTACCTTGATAAGTTATATTCGCTAAAAACAAAAGTTTAAAAAATAAAACGGATGAAATTAACCTTTTTCAAAGTTCAAACACTGAGATGAAAATAACAATTGGAAAAATAAAAGGTTAAACATTTTACAAAGTATAAAATAATAGTAATAATAAGTTAATAAAGGACTTATCAAAGACATATCAAAAACTAGTGGCCACACACTATGGATTTTTTAATAAACTAGAAGTTGTCGGTCTCCGTGTTGGCGGGAACTCAGGCGGGTTCATCCATATTATATTTTAGATAAAAATAACATACGATATTCAAAAAACGTAACATAT